AACAAAGGTGGTGACCATTGATTGAGGTGCTGACATTCAACTTCAGTTGGCCTGCTAGAATAACAGATCATGAAAAGACTACTACATTGATTGAGGTGTGAAGATAGATTGAAATCAGTCTTCAAGTGGGAGATTGTTGAAAAGTCAAGAACGGTGTGCCATTTTCGGTACCTAACATTCGATTGAATGTTAGCGTTTTCGGTGCCTAATTTTGGTTGAAAAATTAGCAAATTGTGATGCTTTGTTGCCTTTAAATACGAAGCTCTTCGATCCATTCTTTGTATCCCATTTCTGAGAGAAAAATAGAGAGCAAATAAGAGAAAGAAAAAAAAAGAGAAAATAGTTTAGCTTTTAGGTATAATTGGGTTATGGGTTGTGAGTGGTTGTGAGTATTTTTAAGTGTTATGTAAATATTGAGTGTATTCTTTTTTTTGGTAATATATCTGCAGCAGTCTGGAGACGTAGACATTATTGGCTGAACTCCGTTATCAATTTTGTGTGTGCAAATATTCCGCATTTATTTTTTACTTCCACAAATCTGACGTTACAAGAAAATTCGGCGTAATTTTCTTAACAGTATGGGGGCACAAGTAGCATTAGGATTCATGGGGTCACGTTGAGGCATTGAGTGTCTTGATCTGAGAGTAAAAGCTTGCTTCTTATTTTCTATTTCGGGATTAACATTTCCATTTACTGGGACATGCCTCGTATGATTCCAATTTGAGGGTGTGGAGCTGACTGTGTCTCTTATTCCCGGATGACCTGTATTATTTGATGTTTGTCCTATTTGCAGTCACAGCATGAGAGGAACTTGTGCATTCTCATAATCAATACAAGTACTATTGTCCATTTTACTAGGTTGTGATTGAAACAAGAAACCTGAGGCGCAATGATAGCAAATCCTTGGATCATGTCCAAATCTGTAGACAATTTCATTTTGAGAATTTTTTTGAAATCCTGTTTTGATTACTGGGATAAGGAGAAATATCATTGGAAATATGATAGAACACGGTTGATTAATTTATAGGAATTGTAAAAAAACACAGAAATGCAGCCATTAATATTTCTGTCCCATAGTTTCAGAAACTCCTACAGAGCAAGGATTGCTGAAAAAGAAGAAAATATTATTATAACTGTCATTCACAGAGAAATTACACATTATATTTCGAATATGTAACTGTCTACTGCAATAATAGGTTATTGGAGGAAAATGAGAATTCTAATAACAATGAAAGAGGCTTTGTTGAAAATGGGTGAGGATTGAATTTTAATGGTCTTGAGGAAGACTATCTTATGGGGGTTAAAAAGATAAAACCTCATTCTATCAAGCAAGTGTAACAAACAAACTTCTCATGAACAACTTATACATCAATTAATATGTGTGGCCCTTTTTAACTCTACCCTCTCCCTTATCCCCATGTGTGGTTAGAGTGTTAATAATGAAAGAAAAATCGTTGCTGTGTGAATGAAAAAAAAGTGTTAGTATCTTGAGACTGAACAAAATATATGCTTGACTTAGGATGTGCGCTATGAATGAGAATAAGAACCTTGTGGGTGCTATCGAGTGAAAACCTGAATGCATATAAGATTGAATGAAGATTAAAATAAAATAATTAAATATATCTTTTATCCCTACATTTTGACTTTGGTTTTAGTTCCTTTAAGCTTTTTTTGTTAAGTTTTAATCTCCAATCTTTCTAAATTGGCCTTTTTGGTCCCTAATAACCACTAAATGATGACATGATTTACGAAGAGACTGTCATGTTTCAATGACTATTTGTGTTACCACGACAGTGAGAGGGATCAAAACACCTAAGTTATACAAATATAGGGACCAAAACCATAACAAATTAGAGGGCCAAAAATGAAAAACTCGTGAAAATGTAGAAACCGAAATCATATTTAAGCTTGAAAGAAATACATCTACTGAATTTCATTTGTAGTTTATTGTTTATATATATATATATATATATATATATAGGTATTTGTTTTGTTGACTACTGTTTACATGAATAGCCTACAAAGTGATCTCTGTTAACAGTAACTGCAACTTTTGATATTTTTGCTCTCAACACTTGAGTTGATTAACTCAACCGTTAAATAATTCTATATTATTTTTATAATTATATATATATATATATTAAAATATTTACAACTTAAATATTTATAGATATTGTTATATCAAATTCAATATTTATTTATATTTTAAAAATATAATACTTATTCTAGCAAAAAAAAATAATATAATACTTATTAAAATAATATAATGCGATAAAATTTATTTTAATATGAAATTTTATAAAGCTAATTTAATTAATAAAATATTTTAAATTAATATTTACATTGATAAACTTTATATTTATGAAAATTTATTAAATAAGATAAATGTTTAAATTTAATAATAAGTATTAACGGATCATAACTCAAATTTGCTAAGTTAAATGAATAAATTAGAGATAATAGTTTGTTTTTATAATCATCACCGGCTAAATAAATTTGATATAATATAAATCATTAAATTTTTAACAATAGATATTTTTAATTTTTACAAAAATGTATTGATTGAACTAAAATTCAGCATTAATTGTTGGATTTTACAATTTTTTGAACGACCAGATGAATTGATTATAAACACCTTTTATTAAATTTTAACGACAGTTTATTTTCACGTGCTTTCTCCGCATGAATTGGTTTTAATGAATCAAGATAAATCATTGATGTGATGTTGTTAAGTTGGTAAAAATCTCTTATACTGTTTGGGTGAATCAAGATTAATCATTCATTTGATCTTCTTGTCCTTTACATTTTCTTTTTCATTTAATATATTTTCTACCTCAAGCCAAATTCAGATTTTACTTTTACTCTCAATAACAATATTATTTTTTAACTCTTCAAGCACTAATTTATTTAGATTTTTTTTTTTAAAATTTGTTTATAAAGAGATATCTTTTATAATTTAAGGAACGTGATCATACAAATATAACCATTACAAGTATTTTAATTTTAAGTTTATATGTTAATTTTATTTTCAAATTTTAAATAATCAAGTTTACGTGCCTAAATCAATCCCCATTTACTTTATTACTGATAAATATACGTGCGTTACAAATATTTGCTCGAGTATATTTATATATTTTTTATTAGTTAATTTAATTTTAAAATAATTAAAAATATTATAATTCAAATATAAAATTAAATTAACTAAATAAGAATGATATGTATAAGAAAATAACTAAATATTTTGATAAAAAATAATAGAGATATTGGTTGCAAATTAGTTTTCAAAATCTATAAAATCTTTAAAATATTTGTATAATAATGTAACAAAAGTAGTTTAATCTTTTAAATTTTTGACTGCTTTACTTCGACATTTACTGTTTATAAATTATTTTTCTTAAATTTAGTATTCTTACACTTAGAAATACACGTAAAAAATTTATTATTTTTATGTCATTTTTTATATTTATATAAAATAATAAAAATAAAGTTATTCCTTCTTGTATTATAAATATTATAAATAAAAATAATAAAATTGTAATTTAATTTTTTTATTTCTTTCATTAGTAACTTAAATTTTTATTTTATTTGTTGTAAAATTTTATCTTTAATAGATTTTAAAAATAAATACTTATTTTTAGTTAAAAAAATATACGAAGTGCGTATAATATTTAAAGAGTTGTGAAAATAACTTCAACTATTTACTGTCATTTTAAATATATTTATAATTTATGGTTTTATTATTTTTATTATTTTTTAAATATTTTTATAAATAAAAATTAAAATATAAACTCAGACATAAATTTAGATAATCTAAATTTATACTATTGTAAGTTTGATTAATTAAAAAATACAAATAAATTTGATATAATTTAATCACTTAAAAAATTAATATATAATATCACTTAAAAATAATATAAATTTACTTACTCAATAAATTAAAATAAAATATATGAATATAATTTAATAAAATAAAATAAAAATATTAACTTAAAAATATAGATATACTTACATTAATAAGTAACTCTTAGTAATTAACATAAGTACAAAATAAAAAAATAAAATAAAATAACAAAAATAATCATTAAAAATTTTCAAATATTTCTTATATAATTGGAGATAAAATCTTATTTAATAATATATGAAGAATTAAAAAATAAAAAATTAATATAATAAAATTTATCTTTTTATTTTTATTATAATTTATTTGTCTTTTTGTTAAAAATAATATTTAATATAGTATATAATAAAAATTAATAATTTTATTAACATAATTTTTTTATTTGAAGTACAATTTTTATTTTAAATTTTTATTTTTAAATATAAAATATATTAAATTAATCAATTAAAAAAATTAAAATTAAAGTTATTTAAATTTAAATAAGACTTCAAATAATAAAATTTTATTTTTAATTAACTAATAACTTGAGAATTTTATTAAATTTTTTAAAAATTATTTTTATATAATTAGATTAATATTTTTTCATTTTCAACATTTTACAGTAGATTTTTTAATTTTTTATTTGTTATAAATTTTAATAATTTAATATTAAATATCATTCATAATAAATTTGTAAAATATTTATATATAATTTTATTTAATTTTAACTTTTAAATTATAAAAAAATATTATAATAATTATAAATAAATACACAATTCAGCAAATTTATTTATATATTTTAATGAAGTAATTACGTTATTAACTATAGAAATAACTTTAAATATTTAAAATTTAATAATTATTAACTTTTTATAAATATATAAAATAAAATATAAATTTATTATTTATAAAAAAATAATTTTAAACCTTTTAAATTATAATAGTAAATTTTATTATAATTATAATAATAAATAACTCTGATTATATATATATATATATATTTATATATATAAAAGATAATATCTTATCATTTTAATATAAATCTTTTTAAATTTACACGAATTTGAGAATATTTTTGACCTTTATATATATATATATATATATTTTGAAAAAGTTAAAGTTGTCGTACTTGAGTTGTTTTCTCCTTGAATTCTCGTACTTCTCTTTTGTTTCTCTCTTCCCGCTCGCTTCTTCTTCTTCCTCTGGCTCGTCCACGTTTCTTCAATTTCACTTGTCAGTTTCTCTCCATAACATCGAACCGCTTCATTTGATGATAACCAGCTATAATTTTTTTTTTTCTTGAAATTCGGTGTTGTTTGGTCGGTGAACTTACGTGTCAGCTACGGTTAGTTCGTCGATTTTGGCTTTCTTTTTTATATTTTAATTTTGGGTTTCAGGATTTTATGTAAAAGTTGTCTTTTCTGTTTATTTAATTACCATTCTGATTATTTTTTTAATTCTTGAGGGCTCTGACATGTTTATGCTTGGAATTGGAATGCTTACATTGTATACATATCTTGGCTTTGTGGGTGTATTTTATTTCTTCGAAGTTTGTTTTCTCTCCAAAGACGTAGCTTTATCTCCTCCTTCTTCTTCTTAATTAAATTTATTTTCCTTATCTTTATGTTAGTGTAAATAATTTCCAAGAAGTGGGACTTGAGTAGTAGTCATGACGTATGTGTGTGGACTCTGAAATGGCATCTGTGTAGTAGTCATGACGTTGACGTGGGTATCAATTGGATGCGCTTTTCATAATCGATAAATGTATATAAAAGAAGGGTGAAAGTTTTTGAAATAGTAGTAAGGCTTTTCAGAAATGATAGACAATTGCATTAAGTAATTGACAATCATCTTTTGGATGTGCCTAATGTATCATAGTTTTTAGATGGTTGGGGATCATATGCATCTACGAATTAGCTATGCATACTCAAATGATTATGCTAAAGCTTATTTTTTCATATTTCTTAATAATTAAATTTCATCTCTGGACAATTTGTCCTCATGTTTGTTACTAAGTTCTAATGTTTGCCATTGTGGACAATTTGTTCTCATGTTTGTTACAATTTGTGCTTATTTTATTTGAACTATTTATTGAATAAAATAATAAAATTTGGAACGCTTAATGAATCAGTGTATGCTTAATCTCCATTCTTATTGGATAACTTCTGTGACGGTGTAATGATAAGGTATTCATTGAAAGGATTCATTAACTTTTGACTAGAGTTGATCAGAAATTTCAAGTGTGAAATGTCAGTATTTTCATGCGCAGACTCTTTTTTGGTTTGTCTTCTATTTGCTAATATTTTTTTAGTGACTGAAATTATTGAAATTATTCATTCTGTTTGTTATAGAATTAAACTGCATCAATAAATCTCCTCATCATGGATCAAGATTTGCAGCAATTAGGGCAGCAAATTCATTCTCTTTCTGAAAGTATTCCTGCAAGAGGCACCAACATTGCTCAGCCTAACATTAACACAGTGGTGCATGCAATGAATGTAGATTCCCATTATTTACTAGATGCTCACGACAATGCCATGATTCACGGAATTCACCGTCAACATAATCATCATATGAGTGCTCCAGCTGCTGCCTATGTATATTTTCCTGACATGAATCCTCCATCTAGTAATGCCGTGTCTCGAAATTGCATAACCTCCGATCAGTTGTCAGGTTCAAGCACATTCACAGCCACTGGATCATATAAACGCAAACGTTCTGTAGAAACCAGAGGAAACAGTCAACATTTCAATGCTTCAGCTAGTTCTTCAATTGGTCCTCGTAATGCAAGACATGCTGAAAATGGAATTCGTACGCCACCACATTCTAGTCCGTGGAGTAGATCAGATGCACCTCTTATGGTGCATGAACTTAACCATTCAATTCAAGGAAACTATTCGGGCCAACGCTTTCATCCAGCTCCTCACTCTAGGTTGGCTGAACAGCTGAATAGCAATAATAATAATGGCCATTCTTTGGCTTGGAATCAGTCTCTTCCAATGCTCTTTGTACAAGGTAAAGATGTTTTTCTTTCTCCATTTTTTTGTTTTGTTATTCTTTTTTTAGACGTGTTCATGTATATTAATATTATTTGGATGTGATTGGTGAGTGAATAAAGTGAATAATTTATGGTAACATGCATGTAGAAAGTTTTATTCAGGTGTTTTAATAAAAAAGGAAACTTAACTAAGCTCCTTGGATCAACCAAGCGATATATTTTTTTTTTATTGTGAAGTCTAGTTGTACAAATAAAATTTGAATAAATCCATAGGTGTGTTATTTTTCCATGTATAATCTGCCTCCCACAATGTCAATTCAATAGCCAAACAATGTACTCAAATTTTCTTTAAATACTTGGCATAGTGAATGGATTAGGCATTTCTGACTGTCTCTGTTTTATTCTCTAGCTCCCAATGCTGATGGACACTCATTAGAGAATACAAATATGGGTTTGCAGAGATACCACGATACATCTGGCAGCAGAAATGACCTAAGATTTACTTATACTGCTCTGGTCAACCCGCAATACCATACCTTTCATCATCAAATGTGGCCTGTACAAGGGAGAAGAGGTCACTCCCTCAACTTGCATCCTCCAGTAACTGCAGTTTCACACAGAGTTCCAACAAATCCTTTAAGCAGTGCTCAAATTTCCATACAAAATAATTTTGAGATGGGCACTGGGGGCGTTCTTCCGGTGCCACCTGCAGGTGCATGGATATACCGACCTCATAGTGTGACTGTTAGACATCAAACTCTTCCTCCCCTGGCCTCTCTCCAAGTTGATGTAATATTTTGTATTTCTCTTCATAATTGCTTTTTGTACTTCATAGTTCCGTAGGACTTTTTATGTAGACAATATTTATCTTTACTTTTGTATATTGATTGTCTTATTATAAATTTTGCAGAATATTGCTATACTGTTTGACCATCATAGAGATATGCGCTTGGACATTGAGCACATGTCTTATGAGGTAAGTAGACATAAATCTGATGTATTATCAATGTGAATTAGAATAATAAGATCTAGGATCCTAAAAATTTAGTGCCTGTAGAAAATTTTAATTTGTTTACTCTTTGGAACTGTGCAACAGGAGCTTCTTGCATTGGGCGAGCGAATTGGCAATGGAAACCCAACTTTATCAGAGGAAACGATTACAAATCAAATGAAGACAATAACTTATTTACTACCTACTAACTCACAGGAGGCAGGCTGTGATGAACAAGAAGCTGATATTTGCATCATATGCCAGGTATACATAATTGCATAATATTTGTACTAAGGGGTAATGTTATCCATTTTTACCATTAATTGGAATGCTTGTATATGATTTCACAGGATGAATATAAGAACCAAGATAGGATTGGAATTCTTCAATGTGGGCACAAATATCATTCAGATTGTATAAGGAATTGGTTGGTTGTGAAAAATGTCTGCCCCATATGCAAATCAGTAGCATTGACTCCTTGAGAAAAGAAGGGTGTATAAGAATCAATGCAGTCCTCTTGGATACTATATTTTTTTGAACGAGTTCATATTTTGCTATGTATGTGAACTTGCACACAGAGACAGTCACATTGCTCAATTCATTTATTTGTTGGCACCAGAACATTGTATCTATCTAGTTGTACAGAACTTGTTCCGCGTGGTGTAATATCTACATTGTTACTATTTTTTAATGGATGGTTGAATGTCCCATGCCATATATATATTGATACCTTTCCTCTTCAGATTTACAATTAGTTTATTTACTTCGTTACGAATAACTAAGTAAACCGGTATATAATGGATGGTAATAAATGAAAAAATCCGTTAACAACAAACGAAAGTCGCTTTTTGTCATTTCTGTGCTAGTAACTTACTAGTGGGTTGATGATAGTTCCCTGCCTAGAAACATTATGACTCATAGCTTATTCATGACACAAAATATAGATAATTGTAACATTTTTTTTATTGACCAATGTACAAGTTTATGTAATAACCTAATTAAAAGTATTTTTTTAACATGATTAAAAAATTTTACTATTGAGTACAATTTTATAGTTTTTTTTTTTTTTGCCTCTTAACACTAAAAAAACAAGAGTCAATGAATTGTTATACCTAAAAAAGTTTCTATGAAGAATGTTTTCTTGGATAATGTTTTCTCTTTTCTTCATTTTTTAAACGACTTTATTTTTCGTTAGTACGTTATAATGAGGTTGCATGATGTAAATAAGAATATTAAAATATTGTTATTTTTTTGCCGTATAATTTCAAAACTTTAAGCAAAGAATTTAGAGCATGATCAGTGTTCTTGAATTTCAATTTTATAGTTAAATAAATGGTTAAAAAAGTGGGGTGAAGGCTAGCATGAGTTAGCATGTTAAGTAACTTATAAGTGAGTAACTATTTTTTGAACCGTTAGATGTATTTTAAAATCTATAAACGGTTTAGATCTTTTACTTGTAACTTAATAATACAAGTTTATACATATTTATCATTTAATCCTTCATAAGAATTTTTATAATTTCTCTTTAGACCTTCAAAATATTTTATTTTGTATCTTGAAAACTTTTCTAATGCCTCAACTCCTTGCCACATAGAATAAGAGACCCCTCTCATCTTCCTCAATACATTCATAGGATACATAGATTAAATTATCCCCAAGGATATCCAATTTCCTATGTTCAGTTTATCTATTTGAAGTCTAGTGAACACTTTATGAAGACTGATTGAATCAAATGGGAATGATGATGGGGCAAGGGTCAACAGATGCATATGAATATGAATAAGCTAACATCAATCTGTCTGATAGGATCCGATCATTGTCAGACCATGGTGAAGGGTGAAGGAGGGATTTCGAAGAATGCTGCGATCGAAGGGCTCATTCTACGAAAGTTCTCCCCCACTTGAAAGCTAAATAAGGACAACAATAATGGATTCTTCACAAACCCTATTTTTGATCAATATTTTTAGAATTAATACTTTTACATTCACTCTTACAATCTCAATTCATCATGAAAATGACATTTGTATTGATACATTATTTAATACTCTTTTAAATCTTTCTCATGTTCTCCCTGTATAATGGTCGTTTTATATCGCACAAATTCATCAACTTTAGCCTTAGTCGTGTGTTTTTGCTTAAGCTAAAATTATGGACAAAAAATGACTCACTTGAGGTAATTCGCTTAAGCAGGAGATAAATAGCTTAAGCCATGAAATACAATACAATTTTGGGTTAAATAGTGAATATTAGCTTAAACAGTGTTATATCTCTATTTCTGTTGTTTTTTCAATTTGACTAATGATATTTTTTATATGATAATGTTATATAATAGTGAGATTATATTTAAGATAGGGGATATGGTTGGTTCTCGCAAAGATTTCCAATCTTGGTTGTTGGGAAGAATAATGGAGCGTGAGGTTATTCTGTTTTAACTTTTCAAAATTTCAATGAATTGACATTTTACTCTTTACTTAAATGTAACAATAATTTTTATTTTAAATGAAAAAGGTTATTGCAATTCAGGCAACAAAAATTATGTGGTTGCAAATACATGCATCAAACCAAATTATATGGACCCTTCCACCATCTTTTAAGGTTAATTGTTATATATTGGTTACATTTAGTTTAATATTATATATTGGTTACAGTAAGTTTAATATATACAGAAACACCAAATAACAAATAAGAGCTAATTTTTGCAATTTATTCTATTCAGAGATATATGAGAAGTGAAACTATTGAAGACCTTATAACTAAGTTTGGTAAGCAGTGGATGTCAGCATTTGAAAGTTTGAAATATGTAAGTCATTTTTCTTTCTTAACATTTATGGCTATACTGTATCCCAAAATTGACTATATATTTTGCTTAATTAGATTTATGTACCTATTAAAGAGTGCGGTGGACATTGGTACCTAACTGTTATCTCAATTGAGGATCAAGTTATTTATCACTTGGATTCTTATGCTGAACAACAAAATATGAATCTAAGACAGTACACAATAAGGAAAGTGGTAAGTATCTTACAATAGTGGAATTGGAATTTCAAATGGTTCAATAATATTGGTTATTAACTACGCTTCATTGGAAATTTATAGTGTGAAACCATTTCTCACATGACGAGATCAAGCTTCTATCCATGTAACTATCTAAATGACATTCTACAAGATGTACTTGATTGTAATATAACTGAGGCATATGGAATTACTGACAATACAAATAGGTAAAATTATAATGTTTAGTATCTTATACCTTTACTATAATGTTAAAATATTTTGCAAATTTTTTTTTGTTAGATACTATAATTCTGCATTGTGGGTATTGGATTGGATGGATATGGAAAATTCCTTCTCACCTAATCTCTATGGGCAAGTGAGTTACAACATCATTCATATTTATTTTAGTCATAGTCTTTCCTTAAACTCTTAGAATAATGGTTGAAATAAATTACACTATTGAAAATTGAATGTATTTGAGTAATTTATGAATGTTATGTTTCAGCTAGATGAGGACATTGTACGGGTAAAAACAATAATTGGATTGTTAGAAGGACATCACAATGAAGTGAAGTCTACATTGGAGGCTAGTGTGAACAACTTTAACCACACCTACACGTATTCAAGTGCTATAAAGTGATTATTAAGCATAGAAGAATTCATTTATCTATCTTTCATGTTGCTTTTCATTATGAAATAGTATAAGAATGAGATTTAGTTTCATATATTTGATTGAGGTTTTTTAAAAATTTCTCTAAAGGCATTAAAGTATTTTTAAATAGTAAGTTTTAATGCGTAAGTGAATGCATATTTGATTTTAAAAAAATTAACATTAAAAAAATAATCATCATAGAATATTATAGCATTTGACATCTATCCTCCACAAAAAGTAATACATTGAGCACTTTATGTAATATCACAAGTTTAAGTGAATTATCCAAAGTAAAAAATACATAATTAGCTTCCTATACATTCTGTGTAATTTTAGCTTTAGCTGTATACCACGACTTAAGCAATTTCATCCTAGCTTAAGCTTCATTTAATCACTAAAGCTAATTATGCATATAAGAAATTGCCTGCATAAAAAGCTTCAATTAATAATTACAAGCTTAAGCAAAACTTACAATAATTGGGTTGCCTATTCTGTGCAATTTTTGCTTATGGTAGTTAACATAGGCTTAAGCTTTATTACTAAGCACATTTGAGTAACCTTTGACAGCTTAAGCTAAATATGCAAGTAGATTCTAATAATACATAAGCAAATATCCATAGCTTACGTGAAGATAAGCTAATAACTTCAATAGTAAAACTTCGCTTAAGCTAAATGTTTTGGCTCAAGCTATTTATGCAGATAGGGAATTGCTTGCATCATTCGCTTAATTGAATAATGTTAGTTTAAGCACATATTCGTGTTTCATTCCTAACTATGGTGTGTTAGATTATAGCTTAAGCGACTAATGCGCTAGCTTAAGCGAAGATTTTCTTAATTTGGTTGCTTGTTCTGTGTGAATATCGCTTAAGCTATTTAAGCGTAGCTTAAGCTTTAAAGAACATAAGCTTAAGCTAGCTTAAGTGAAGTTACTTAGGCTTAAGCTAATTATGCATTTGCACAAATTCTCTTTAATATGCTTAAGTAGAGTATTATGGCCTAAGCTCATTTTGGTTGTGGGCCTTTTTTAAGCTATATATGTTTGAATACAACTTAAGCGAAGGACAATAGGTAAAGCTTAGATTGCTTAAATTTTCTTTCCTACACTACTTCAAATATATTTCTCAAACAATATATAAAGCTTTGACATTCATTATGCTCAACAAAAATCCAATCATTGAACACTCTATATAGGGTAACAATTTGGCATCCATTAAAGCTAAACAAAAAACATTGTCATTCAAACATCAAGTCATTCTTCGTTTAAACATTAAGTCATCACCATCACATGCTTAAAGAGGTTGAATATCTAACACTTTCTCTACTTCTATTTTCTGCTTCTTCTCTCACTTCATCTATTGCTTTTGTTTCTGGTTGATCCTCTATATCTTGTTGTGGTTGATCCTCTACCTATTTTTTTTGGTTGCTCTTTTGTTTCTTTTTCAGGTTCTTTGTTAGCTTGGTCATCTGCTTGATGCTCAGGTTCTGGTTGTGCTTGGTCCTCTACTTCGTCCTCTTCTTCTTTCTCAGGTTCCATTTCTGCATGGTCCACAACTTTAGTTTCAGGTTGCTCTTCTATTTCTTTTTTAGGTTCTTTGTTAGCTTGGCCATTTGCTTGATGCTCAGGTTTTGGTTGTGCTTGGTCCTCTGCTTCTTTCTCAGGTTCCATTTCTGCATAGTCCACAACTTCTGTTTCAGGTTGCTCTTTTGGTTGTGGCTCTACTCCATCTACACCCACATGGACCTCTCCCTCCAAGACTATTGAACTATCCTCAGGCCATGCAACATGAGCAGCAAAGTCCTCGGGAGTAGGCCAAGGGTAACAAGAAGAGATGCCTTGTGGCTGATGCAATGTAAAACTATAGAATGATTGGTTGAGTCTTGTATAGGCTTGGTGGTTTGTAGCCAACTATTGCTGAATGTGCAAGAGATGACCTATCAAAAAAGGTTCCATAGGTGGTGGGGCAGAAGGTGCTGGGGTGGGAGCTTGATGCTCAGGCTAAGGATTGTGCTCAGCATGGATAACACAATTATATTTTATGAACTAAATATTGATGGGTCTTTTAAGCAGAATAGGTGGTAATTATGCAGGAATCT